CTGGCTTCCATCCTCCGCCCCCCTCTGCCAATCCCTCCACTGGCTTCCATCCCCCCCTCTGCCAATCCCTGCACTGGCTTCCATGCCCCGCCCCCCTCTGCCAATCCCTCCACTCTTCCACTCTATTAAGTATTAGAGAGGACGGGTCAGTGTGAGGGGGTCGGATACCGGCACTGATCTCTCAGAGCTGACTTATGGTAAACCCCCCCCATAGTGACTAATGGGCAGGTCCACAGTCCAATATTAGGCAATAGGTTGCAGTACTGTAGTGATGAACTTCAGTTCCAGTAAGGACGCTGTCTGCATGGAGTATGTAGGTCCCCTCTTTGTTTCCTCTGGATGATCCAGTTTCCTCCCACAGTCCAGAAACATACTGGCGGGTTACTTGACTTCTAACCTAATTGCCCCGTCAGTGTCTGGATCACATGAACGGTGGAAGGAGAAGTATATCTATCAATCAGGTAATAGAGATGCCGATGAGTGGAAATATGTGATGTTGTATCGCCATCTAGTGGCTGAAATATAAATCACAGAATAAAGCATTTCTGTTCTTATTGATTTGCTGTTGTCACGTATGTTTCTGTTGCAGATCCGATACATAAAGATCAATCAAATGAAACATTGTATATATTCCAACAATCCGCTATTCCAGTACACATCCCCATCGTGACTATGGGGTCTATTCACAGAAGGGGGAGTAGACTGGGATGCCATTAAAGGGCGGAGCCAACCCAATACTGAACCCTACGGACTAAGACTGGGGGGGCCATTAAAGTTCATGTGCGTGTAAAGGCGTCCCAGTACTTCTGGTGATATAATGTATATATTTCGATCTTCAGAATTTTTTTAAACTTCACATTTTTTACAGATCAATATTTTGGATTTTCTCTTCATCGTCCAATACCGATCACTCGGCTCCCACCGTCGGCATTCAATGCTCCCAACAAGGAGAAATTGGTGCCGTTGCTTTAAGGAGATAAATCTCAGTATTTCTCTCCTTTTTTTTATTCCCTTAAAGTCTCAGATCTTCATCTCACGTGGTGATTGGTTAGTTGGAAGTGACTTTGTGATCAGTTTTATGATATGTCGGTGTAGTATGCAGAGGCGCTGTACCTGCTTCCTGTACGGGTGCTCACACTTGCTGAGAGTTACTCGCAGGCTCTGCTGTCTCCGGATCAGAATCTCTTTCGCTTGTTGGGTCCCGGGGTCCGCAGACAGAGTGTGTCTGCTATACGATGGAGTCTGTTCAGAGGACAAACAGAGTACAGAGGATAAAACATAACATTATGGGAGGGGCAGAGACACAAACTACTGGAGGGAATCTCACCATTGTGGGAGTGGCAGAGACACAAACTACTGGAGGAAATCTCACCATTGTGGGAGGGGCAGAGACACAAACTACTGGGGGAAATCTCACCATTGTGGGAGGGGCAGAGACACAAACTACTGGGGGAAATCTCACCATTGTGGGAGGGGCAGAGACACAAACTACTGGGGGAAATCTCACCATTGTGGGAGGGGCAGAGACACAAACTACTGGGGGAAATCTCACCATTGTGGGAGGGGCAGAGACACAAACTACTGGGGGAAATCTCACCATTGTGGGAGGGGCAGAGACACAAACTACTGGGGGAAATCTCACCATTGTGGGAGGGGCAGAGACACAAACTACTGGGGGAAATCTCACCATTGTGGGAGGGGCAGAGACACAAACTACTGGGGGAAATCTCACCATTGTGGGAGGGGCAGAGACACAAACTACTGGGGGAAATCTCACCATTGTGGGAGGGGCAGAGACACAAACTACTGGGGGAAATCTCACCATTGTGGGAGGGGCAGAGACACAAACTACTGGGGGAAATCTCACCATTGTGGGAGGGGCAGAGACACAAACTACTGGGGGAAATCTCACCATTGTGGGAGGGGCAGAGACACAAACTACTGGAGGAAATCTCACCATTGTGGGAGGGGCAGAGACACAAACTACTGGAGGAAATCTCACCATTGTGGGAGGGGCAGAGACACAAACTACTGGAGGAAATCTCACCATTGTGGGAGGGGCAGAGACACAAACTACTGGAGGAAATCTCACCATTGTGGGAGGGGCAGAGACACAAACTACTGGAGGAAATCTCACCATTGTGGGAGGGGCAGAGACACAAACTACTGGGGGGAAATCTCACCATTGTGGGAGGGGCAGAGACACAAACTACTGGAGGAAATCTCACCATTGTGGGAGGGGCAGAGACACAAACTACTGGAGGGAAATCTCACCATTGTGGGAGGGGCAGAGACACAAACTACTGGGGGGGGATCTCACCATTGTGGGAACTCTCCCTGAACTCTGTGATCGGAGCCTTTTCTCAGTGTAACTTTTTCTGTATGTTTTACTTCTTCCGGCTACAGATAGAAGATGAGATAATGACGCCCGGGCCCGCTCACCGTTTTCCTGATCCGATACAGATTCCGGGACAATATCTTCTTGATGTCCTCCAGCTGCTGCGTAGACAGGTTCTCTTTTCCAAATGACGGCTTGTGATGTTTACTGAAAAAGAACAGACACTTATATACATTCTGGCTCTACAAGTGTCTGCTGTCTATCAGACCTGAAATCCAACGAATGAAAGGGGCGGAGCCAGGCAGGGGCGTAACTAGAAATCACAGGGCCCCATAGCAAGATCTTGTATGGGGCCCTGTGATTTCTAGTTAAGCCCACCTGAGAGTGACCCAGCAGAGCCCACCAAAGACTCTCTATGGTGGGCTCTGCAGGGTCTCAGGTGGGAGGTCAAGCCCTCATACCTGTCTGCTCTGATCCTGTGCCCGCCTCCTTCTCCGCCACGATCGCTGGCGGGCTCCGACTGAGGGTGCCGCCCTAGGCAAACGCCTAGTTTGCCTCGCGGTAAATACGCCCCTGCAGTGACATCAGAGGAAGACATTTCAGTCCCGGAGAGTATAATGAGGACGCGCTGGGACTGGCGGTGTGTGATGGCGACACCTCTGGGAGTCCATTGGAGAATGCGCTGATGGGTGGGAGTCATGTGAGGACAGACAGCCAATGAGGTCACATTGCAGGTGAGTGACCGATGGACAATACTCACTGCGGGGCAGAGGATGCGGAGAGGTCAGACAATTGCCCGGCTTCAGCCAGCTCAATGGCGTGCTTCTTCTCCAGCTTCTCGTACAGGAGGACAATGCTGGACTTCGGCTGGTTGTCTCGCAGCAGAATCCTCCCCAGGTATTTATTGTCGAAATATTCAAACCTGCGCGGAGCAGAAGACGGAGCTTCAGCCGGGAACACCACCTGCGGCGGAAACCGTTCAGTGGAGGGAGCTCGGGTACATGTAGGTGATGGGAGAGGGATGCGATCAATCATCATCTGCACACTAAATGCACATTCACCGGCACGACTTCACACTAAATGCGCATTCACCGGCACGACTTCACACTAAATGTGCATTCACCTGCACGACTTCACACGAAATGCGCATTCACCGGCACGACTTCATACTAAATGCGCATTCACCTGCACGACTTCACACTAAATGCACATTCACCGGCACGACTTCACGCTAAATGCACATTCACCGGCACGACTTCACACTAAATGCACATTCACCGGCACTACTTCACACTAAATGCACATTCACTGGCACGACTTCACACTAAATGCACATTCACCGGCACGACTTCACACTAAATGCACATTCACCGGCACGACTTCACACTAAATGCACATTCACCGGCACAACGCATTCATATGTATTTGGAACGAGCTGCCAACGCACTACCACGTACCTGTCATGCAGATGGACTTCTGTTGTGGAACACTAAAACGCAGGTCCATCGAGGTGGGTTGGGGGAGGTGCCTCTCATAACATTCACTCTCTATTCACACATTACTGCCACATGAAGATGTGTGTCTCTTGTAGGTCACAAGAATTCATTCATCCGAGTCTACAAGCAGGGCCGGATTTACTCTCCCTGCTGCCCCAAGGTCAGGTTCTGCAATGCCCCCCCTACCCGCC